TCCCCCCTTTGGCGGGTTCAAGCCATTCCCCTTGTCCTGTCCCTACATCCCTTGTCCAAAGCCCCTCTCCAGGTTTCCTGTAGGCAAATCCCACCCAGGGATGCAGCTGGGATGGTGCAGACTCAGTAGAGGAGCCAGGGGGAAGTTTCTCCCTGTACAAAGTGAAAGGACAAGCAAGGGCCATCAGAGTTCCCTGGGGATGGTTGGGCCCTCACAATGCTGTGCTCACCCTCGCACTGTGCCTAGGACCGGTCTTCCGCTCTGGCAAATGCATCCTGTCTCCACTGCTGCTTCCCAAATATTTAGATAAGATGGGGTGAGATTAGGTACCTTCCTCATCCAGGCCTCTCCCATCCTTGCAGGATGCTGCTGGCCATCGGTGCGAGCAGGACCCAGCATGGATGGTTTGGACGGGGCTTGGAGCAACCCGCTCTAGTGGAAGGTGTCCCTGCCCGGGGCAGGGGGTGGGACCTGGTTGGACTTTGAGGCCGTTTCCCACCAAAGGGAAGCCCTTGGGCAGCAGGATGAGACCTCTGCATGGCAGCATCCTCCTGAAAGCTCATCCCCAGCAGCACAGGGAGGAGGGGGCTATGGCTCAGGGTGGTGCTTTTATCATCTTTGGACGCTGGGTTGTGCTCCTACGCTTCAAACATCCTGTGCTTTATCAGTCCCTGCATGCGCTGCATTTTCTGCTCAACAGAGGAAAGAAAAGCCTCTCTGCGTTCTCCTTCCCCAGGCTCTGCTGCAGCTCTGCCTTCCCCCAACTCCTATCAACCCACTTCTCCTCCTACCACTCCATGGGGGAAGAAACACCCCTTTAAAATGCACCTTTTTTGGGTGGGAAGGGAAATGAGATGTGAGGCTAAAACCCAGCTGAGCACCAAACCTCTTTGCTGCCGGGCCGTGAGCAGTGCCTAAACCCCTTTAGAGGCCAATCTGGAGGGATTTACCCTTTCCAGGGTGGAAAAGGGGCACGGAGGAGCCCACTGCCCCCATAGGGGATGCCCCATCAGCAGTGGCACGGCCCTGGCA